ATCGTTGTTCTAGTTGTCTAATCACATCGTTGTTCTTGATGTCTAATGTAAATCCCATCGTTGTTCTTGTTGTCTAATCACATCGTTGTTCTTGATGTCTAATGTAAATCCCATCGTTGTTCTTGTTGTCTAATCACATCGTTGTTCTTGATGTTTAATCCCATCGTTGTTCTTGTTGTCTAATCACATCGTTGTTCTTGATGTCTAATCCCATCGTTGTTCTTGTTGTCTAATCACATCATTGTTCTTGTTGTCTAATCACATCGTTGTTCTTGATGTCTAATCCCATCGTTGTTCTTGTTGTCTAATCACATCGTTGTTCTTGATGTCTAATCCCATCGTTGTTCTTGTTGTCTAATCACATCATTGTTCTTGATGTGTAATCCCATCGTTGTTCTTGTTGTCTAATCACATCATTGTTCTTGATGTGTAATCCCATCGTTGTTCTTGTTGTCTAATCCCATCGTTGTTCTTGCAGGCAATCTGAACAACGCGAGAGCAGGAGGTAAGGTGGAGCTGCTGCTGATCTGTATGGACGTGGATGGGAAGCTCTATGCCCACGGAGGTGATGCTATGAAGGGAGTTCTGCTCCCAAAGCAAGCCGACTCGAGTCACGGGTACGTTGCCACCCGTAAACCTTCAGAGCGAATGTGCGCATGCACACCGAAAAAGAAATGCAGACAAAATTCAAGAGGGTTCAACTATGGGTCTCATTTTGTGTTGAACACTACTGCTGATCACTGGGATGGTTTGCCAAAATACCAGAGACTAGGATAGTATGCCAAAATACCAGAGACTAGTATGGTTTGCCCAAATACCATAGTTTGTCGAAATACCAAAGACTCTTATGTTATGTTAAAGCCATACCCAGAAGTCTTTCTATCAATAGGAAGAGCGGTCTGTCCCGACTGTATGGCCTTGAATCGGAACTTCACACCGGTTCTGTTTAGTAACGTGCTCGCGAAAAAAGGATGTCATCTGTCGGTGTGTAAAAAAGTCGCAGCGCTGTGTTCTTTTTCCTCCCCTTCTTTGTGCATTTTTGTAAACCCGCGGGTAAATAAATGCTGCCGTTTCAGTCAAGTGAACGTGCATGTGAACGACCGTAAAGACGGCACCTATCATCTGGAGTTCGCCACAGAGCACGCCGGCCAATACAGTCTGCTCCTCACGATCGACCAGTACCACATTCAGGTACGCGCGCTCACTAGTGTATCAAATAAATGATAATGATCCCATCTGTAATAAAATCAGGAGTCTATCAATATTGATAGACTCCTGATAAAATAGTAACACAGTCCACAAAAATGCTTGAGTCTCTGGCTCTCGAACGTTTCCTCTATAGCTAGTTTGGTGGGGGGTTAACGGTGAAGAATGGAAGTTTAGGGATTCATAGTTCACATATAAATATGCATTTATAAGATTGTAATCATGTTATCTTTTTTATCACTGCAAGATCTCGCAGCAAACAAGATTTGAAACAGTGGGTCTGTCAGACAAAAATGTTGCTCAGTGCAAGGTGACTTTATGCTGTTGCTGTTTTAACTTGCAGGGCAGTCCGTTCGGGGTAATTGTGAAGCCAAAACAGGTCAAGCATACGGGTTTATGGCACTGTTGTACCTTCTGTTCGAGTGGAGGGCGCAAGGAAGCTACGTGTGCCTGTTTGGGGAGCATGCCTGGTAAGATGGATCTCCTGTTTATGTCTTTTTAGTTGACAACTCCTTTCCTCCTTGAAGCGTTTGAGGCGTACACATTACAATGCTGGTTTTTACGTTGACAGGTGGATACAACAATATATAGAAATACAATAATAATGATAACAATAATAATAATAATAATAACAATAATAATAATTGATATTGATATTGATATTAGTAATGTTTTTTTTTGCGCTAACAGGTGGATACCGAGGCTGTGGTCATGGGCATCCAGGCCACCCTGGAAGAAAGCACTGGTCATGCTGTGGAAAAACAAGTGAACACTCCTCGTGCACGCGACACAAGCTTCATGGCCTCCATAAGGCAATGCCCCATCTTAGTCCCACGTCCGTGTATCGGCAAGTGACTGTCTAAGATTCGTCGCCGGAACTTTAATCTTTGTCGATTTTTCAGATTCAATAGGACTGTTCAGCCAATTTCGGTTGTTATAGGCCACACATGCTTGCTTGTTTGTGGAAACTGCTCACTTTTAATATCACTGTAGCACTATTTTCTGCTAGTTGATTATGTCTACTATACCTGAATCATGCAGCCAAATAACTTTTGCCAAACTACCAATTAACCCACCCAATCCTGGTTTGGGTTACTGCAAACAAGAGAATATTTAAGTGTGGCCTTTTAGTTAATCATATCGCTTCCACATACGGAACGACTGATAACTTTCTGTGATATTGCTGCCGCCAGTCTTCCTTTAGTGCCTTAATTTCACTTCATAGGAGTATAGTTTGAATGCTTTCACATTCGTTGTTGTTATCAAAAATATCCGAGAGTTGCTACCAGCATAGAAAATCAGGTTTTGGATCTGTATAATTGCATCTTGACGACCGTTTTTGCTATCGTAGCTAGAAAATGCAACAAGCTATATTTTCTAGTGAAACTTACTTGTCGTAGATGGCAGATTCATGGATGAAATCGTGTCTTTAACACCTGTTTATTCGTAGATCTAGTGTCAGCCATAGATACCAGGTAATATACAGTGTATTTAGCATATACATCAGCCGTTCTGAAATGCGCATGTGCTCGCGCGCGTTTAGAGAGAGAGAGAGAGAGCGAGAGAGACAGCGGCAATATTTAAGATACGAAAAAAACATTCCATTAACCTACATGGAAATAGGTGCCGACATCTGCGTAACCACTTGCCACTCGTTAGTTAAATGTGCAACGATCAACACCCTAATAGCAAACGTGTGCTAAATAGACGCTAGAGTAGGTAATGCGAACATGTCAGATCTATGCTGCACGGAACCACTATACAAGTGTGGATTCCCATAGGTTTCAAACACTGCTCTTTGCCAATCATGTACATAGCACGGCTCGATGATTGTTATTTTTTCGCGTGCAAAAGCTGTATAATATTTACTATAACTTTGCTTTCGACCACTTATAGCTAGGTTCAAGCGACGCGGTAGTTGTGGTAGCGAGCGCAGAAATGATCGGAATTCACACGCTCACTGTTTACACTATATATATATATATATATATATATACAATTACACAACTGCTCACTGTTTACACTATATATATATAGTATTATATATATATACAGGCCGTAAGCCAGGGGGGGTTCACGGAACGAACCCCCCCCCAGCAAACAATTTTTTTTTGAAAAATGTGCATAAGAATTTCACCTTGAGGTCGCTCCATTTTGTGTAATTAATTGAACAATCTCCCCATCGTTGCGGAGGGTGAACAGCTGAACACCCCCTCCCACACCCTCCCCGCTCGGTCGCTTAGGCTCCCCGCGCCTGGTCGCCTTCTTGCCCGGCAGGCAGGCCGTGTACAGGGGGGGTCCAGGGAGTCCGGGACCCCCTTGCTCGCGACAGAAACGCATCTTGAGGGGGTCTTAATTTTAAAAAATTCTGGGGGAGGCCGCCAGACCCCTCCTTTCGCGGTGCTCGCAACTTTGGGTTACGGTTAGTACCCCCTCCACCCTGTAAAAAAATGCCTTACACGCCCTGTCAACCGAGCAAAATTGCCAACAATTTGAAAAACGAAAGACCACCCCACCCCCAATATAAAGCTGTCTACGGGCCTTGCATCCTCATTCTCTTGTACAGGGTTTACCTCATTCCCCCTCCTCACCCTATTCCATCTCCTTCACAAAGAAGACAGCGTTTACTTGATTTCCTTTCCCCTATACAGCGCTTACCCCATTCCCACTCCCTCTTTTAGACAGTATTTACTTGATTCCTCATAAAGATAGTTTATTAGAAAATAGCTATATACTTTTGTAACAGTTTGCTTCGCCACAGGCAAGCGGTGCAGGTAATTGCCACATAAGTATAGTGTTAGATCAAACTCCAGAACAACACTCTCACGTCTGCTACAATCAATAGCTGACACTGAATCTGAGCTACACTGACACTGCGCGCGGCATTGCGCCAGTGTTCGTGTGTGCGTGCGTGTGCGTGTGCGTGATTGAGTACTTGATGCGAGTTATGTAATGCTCGCTATACCTCCCGTGCGGCGAGGGTAGGAGGCAGTACGGTCAGTTTCTCAACCCTCGATCACGTCTTCCACTTCTCATTCTAACCGAGAATTTCTCACAAAGCTCACAGATGACGATATTTATTTTACTTTTATGTGTTGCATAGTTGGGTATTATTGGTTTAATATTTTGTGCATGAAGGGCGTAGGTAATAGGCTCATATTATTTTTTGGTACGTGTTGGTATTTATACGTGTTCATGTTTTTATTGGTATTTACCACGGTCTCTCAAAACAATGGCATAGTTATAGCATATGTGCAGTAGTTATATGCTAAACACTTTGTAATTGTAGACTGCGACTGCTGTTCATTGCTTGCATTCTAATCGTGATAACGATCATGACACTTCTCTAACCAGAGCTATTTTAGTATATTTTGCTTTATTTCAATTAGTATATCAGGTTCTACAAACCATTACAAAATGTTATCCTGCCTTACACACGTGTAGCTATTAAAATACACTGATCCTTTAAAAAAAAGTTGTTTATAGTTTACTTGGGATTAACCAAAAAAAAAAAGCAGAAATAAGAATCTCGTTGGAATGCACACAATCGAATATCGAGTTTAGATGAGTGATAAAAAATGAATAGGAAGCAAGTAATGATGAAAAACTACAAATAACTCATTGGGTGTTGTTAACCCAATCATCTAATAATACTTATTCATCATTTCACTCGATTCACATGTAGTAGTAGTATGGATAGACCTGATGACATGGGCTTGCAATCAGACAATAGTGTGTATATATACAAACACATACGTATATGTGTGAAAGCGCGTGAGATTTGTACAGACAGAATATATCTGAAAATGATATGCACCGACAAGTCGAAGCATTACTTCGCACGCACGACTAGACAGTGGCACCATCCACCATCATTGGCCAGATGAAAAAGAATTCACAAAAATGATTAGATCAGAGGATATGAAATAGAAAGTCGTCTGATAAAGCAATTTCTGACCCTCCATCACAGTAATGCATGCTACGTGTTAGAGCACCAACTGACCTTACACCGTAGTAGGATAGGGTTAGCTGGTAGAGCATGTGCTGGTTGTATGTTACCTGGGTAGACCATGTGCCGAGTATGGGTGACACTAAGGTATGTTATCTGGTTGAGCATGTGCTGAGTAATGGTGATACTAGTGTATGTTACCTGGTAGAGCATTTATTGAATATAGGTGATACTAGTGTATGTTTGTTATCTGATAGAGCATGTGTTGCGTATAGGTGATACTAGTGTATGTTACCTGGTAGAGCAAGTGTGTTGAGTAGGAGGGTATACTACTAGTGTATGTTACCTGGGTAAAGCAGTGTGCTGAGATGGGTGATGCGGTGTGTATGTTTACCTTGTATAGCATCTGTGTGGAAGTATAGGTGATATACTAGCTGTATGTTACTGGTAGGCATTTATTGATCAATGGGGTGATGCTGGTATGTTGACTGGGTAAGCATGTGTTGGTATAGGTGATATACTAGTGTATGTTCCTCGGTAGGATTACTGAGTATGGGTGATACTAGTGTATGTTACCTGGTAAAGCATGTGTTGATTATAGGTGATACTAGTGTATGTTACCTGGTAGAGCATTTACTGAGTATGGGTGATACTAGTGTATGTTACCTGATAAAGCATGTGCTTGACTGTAGGTATGAAGTTGTCGTTCAGGAGTCGATCCAGCCCACACCGGAAGCCGTCTCGCTGCTGGCTAGTAGTCTGCATGCCCCTCACCTTATTCTCACTGTCCATGCCCCAGTATATCACACCTGCAAGCCAAGCAGTCGACACAATCCTATACTGCAGTAGTCTAGCAGGGCACAGTCTAAAGCCTAGCGCAGACCTGCGACTTTTCCATGCAACTCGACAGCGATTCTAGAATCAATCAATGAAAAAATTGCTGGAAAACGCTATGTCTGCTGGAACATGAACTGCAACCCGTAGCAATTCTGTGGCTTGTGACGAGTTTTGCATAGAAATCAGACTGTTTTGTAGCTATCTGACATAGTCAGTGCAGCTTGTGAATGACGCGATGATTGTCCGTTGCGTGCGTCGTGCGTCGTCAACAGTTGGGCACAAATCTTAAACCGGCGTTCGACGGTACGCGGTCACGATATTTGGGCTGGGGCGTGGACGGGTAATCAAACGAGTTGGATGTCGAAGCTGCGGCTCGGGGAGGGGGTGGGTGAGGTCAAGAAGTCAAGAGGTGTAAAGAAGGCGGGAACATTCCCTCCTTTAACTTAAGTAGTAGGGAGAAATTGCCCAGAACTTGCGGCACAAATCTAAACGGCCGACCTAGGCGTGATTAGTCGGCGTGCGTGGCATCATGGTAGGAAAAAGCCATCAGCTGTGCCGAAATTGGGAGGTCACAGGTCAAAGGGTCAATTGGGGCAAGGGCAGATTGTGACTTTCTGGAGGACATGGCGGTTGCGGAGCGATTGGGAAAAAACTTTTTTGCTTCAAGCGGTGGATCTACCATTTTTATGGCTTTATTTGAAAGGACCAGTGGAAATGTACTTTCGCTGACATGCGATAGAGTATGGTCGGAATAACTGGTTTGACCCTCAAGGGGGCGGGTTAAACATGGATTTCGTTGGACTGGTTAACAAAGGACTGAACTGCTTTGCTATTAGAGCCCCCTCCCCCCACCTCCCCTCCCACTCTTTCCCCTCCCCCACCCACCACCACATACGCTCAGGCGCGTCGACGCATATTCCAATGATAATGTTACTATAGGGAGTCATTAAAAGTTACACAGCTTGTTATTTTTTTTACTATTGTACTACCATCTAGGTATAGGCCTATCATAGATTTTAGATCTGTATTTAGTAGTATCCTAGATATTGCTTGAGGCGAACGCCGGGTGGCAGCGTAGATGGGCGCACTTGATCACGTTGCCAGTGAGTTTATCAGATTATACCTGGCCTACAAGTACACGTCAGTTGAGCGCTTCGCCTCTGCGGCCTTGTAATTGTTGAGCGACGTCGTGCGTCCCAATCGCTTCCCAAATGTGTTTAGAATTGTCTGTCGAAACGCCATGTGCTCACGCTGGGTGAACACAGGAACCCGACCGCTTGCGGTGTTGAAGTTGGACGCGGCGAGCAACAAAGAAGTCGCAGGGTCTGCGCTAGGCTAACAATGGCGGTGGTGTCGACGGACGCCTACTCGGTGAACATGAGGCACCATAAGGATTCTTGGTAGCAACTGCAGGAGTAGGCGCTCTGTAGGGAGCCAGTTGGAGTCGGCTGGCGCGGGGGAGCGGGCGGGGCCAGGGGGCAAGCGCGACGGCTGTTGCTCATCCACTGAACGCGGTTGGGGGGGGGCGTGTCCCGGTAAACGGCGACCTACCGCCTTGCCCCAAGTTCAGCATCCCGCAGACGAGCCGGCACACTTCGGTCTGCGAGACCTTCTCGATGGACGGTGCCTCGCAAACCTCATTGCGACAGTCACTATCGATGTCCCTGCTGCTTCCAGCGACGTAATACTTGCGCTTTGATGGACCTGGAACATGTGAACGTTACTGACCACACGAGACGCGCCACAATTTTCATACGTTACACCAGGTTTCTCTATGCTAATAACACACACCTAATCATTGATCGTGGGACCAGTACTGTCTCTGATGAATATTCTCATGCGGATTGTCGGTAGAAAGCATATTTGGTTACGACCGTTTTCCAATCATGAAGATGGCCTCAGAAAGAGTGCCACATTATCAGATTAGACACCATGCATATACTTCCCAAGTTCGCCCTGGTTTAAGGTTCCCATAGTAATTTGTGATGACTAAAACTAGTGTACATTACATGAAGGACATCAGGCAAGGTTAATATATATCTATAGAGAGAGAGAGAAACGAGGAAGAGAGAGAGAGAGATAGAGAGCGAGGCATTTGTTATTTGCTTGCACACTGATGACTTCACAAGTACTTACCCAAACCAACACTGCAATCCACAAACCTCCCGTCATCATCGTCATCACTGCCAAGCTGGAATAAAAACCCACTAGCATTCGTATACACACAGACATGATACACAAGTTGACTTCACTATGGTTTCTCTG